AAAATCTATTTAAGACTCAATAAGCCTAATCTGCTTAATAAACCCTTGAAATTGAAAGAGAATGTGTTTTTTTCTTAACCTGACTCTGCCAGATGGATTGTGCTGGAAACCTTCCGTTGAAGTAATTTTGGGAAGGGGCGAAAATACTGGTTAGCTGATTGGCCTATGTTGGTGATAGACGGGCCAAATAAACCAATCAGATCAACAAAGCATATGACGTGCTAACAGAGCGACGACAAAGAGGAGCCAATTGATAGATCAAACTCTTGCCGAAACCAGTCGGGAGAAGAGCAAAAACATCTTTTCCTCTGAGAAAAAAACAGTGTTTTGCTCTTCTTTCAGTGAAGAAATACTCTGTAATTCCGATAAAACTTGCTCGATAGCCACGCTAACGCTAGTTTCATCAGCTGAAGCCGCCATGTTCTTTAGACTGAACTGTCGCTCTTCTCGTTGCGTCACACCTCAACCCGCCTCAAAGCCAACGCTGATTGAACGTTCGTTTGGTGAAAGGCTTCAAATTTTCTTTAACGGAGAGTAGCCAGACTGATCTGCGAGTAAAACCTTGAAAGCTCGCGAGATCAGGATGGTCTCACGAGGCTAGTTTTTTCTACCATGAGAGCTTTCTGCATCAATTTTTTTTATATGACCATTCAACGCTGCTTAAAGAACCCCACATAATTCGTTATCAATTTCTGTCACAACAATCTAATCAGCTGCAAAAGCGGTTTTACCAGAATATTCCAAAAGTAGTGTAAACTGGATTCCCTACAACTTTATCCTCTAAAGTACACAGCACTTTGTCCTGACTGATGGCTGCTAGTGTATCAACAGCCAAAATGTCAATTTTACGCCTACCAAATTCTTCTCTAACTCTAAAGCACTATTCAAAGATGTGTTGGATCTGAAATTTCTCTTGGCAATGGAGCAAGAAACATGATGTCCACTCATGTCTATCAGTGAAGCACAGTGTGGAAAAGATAAAGGTGCTGTTAAGAGACAGACTTCAGCTCCCGGTGATATGAACTGACTCTCTGGGCATGAATGAGGGCAGACAGGCAAACTAAAGGCAGAGCAGCAACCAACTTTCCCACATTAAACTGTTTCATACAAAACTATAAAAACTTGAACCTTCTCACATGAATCACTAATAGATTAAATAATTGAGTCAATTTTTCCACACTTTGTTTAGTCACAAGGGAATATCTGTATACTTGTCCTCTTAATATTAAGTGATATAAATAACATTTATATCTGGAATTTTTTAATGTTTTTATTCGAGTCTTGCCAACCATCTTCAACTCATTAAAAATTACAGCAGTTGACCTGAACAAAGTTGCTCCCTAATATTTTATCCTTTGAATGTAAAAAAAAAAAAAATGTTTAGTTTGGTGATCTGAAGTAAAATTAAGAACTAAGGTTTAAAACAACAAATTCTGCAATAGTAATTATTAACATTGCAATTCAGAGAAGATAATTTATCAAAACCACTGGAGGACATAGACATCAGCCAAGCAGCTCATGTAATCTTACAATTATAAAGGAGCAATAAGTAGCATTTCGAATCGAAATCCCCTTTGGAGAGTGTTGTGCAGGTTGCCAATTTCAAAGAGACAAGTGTGTATCGCAGTTCAAGTCAAGATGATGAGGAAAGACGATTCAGCTACAGAAAGTTTTATTAAAATATTTTTAAAGTATTCTGAGGGTTCTTAGGTTTTGTTGAAACTGTTACTGGTTCACTTCTCTTTCTGGCTTGTTTGCAGGCTGCTCCTCTTTCTGTCAATATAAAACACTAAATGTTGCACCCTGTTTTTGCAACCACGGAAACTGTCATATGATTGGCTCAGGACCCAGGACATAAACACAGCTACACACTGCACTGAAAGAGGTTTGGACCCTGATCCATACCTCTACGTTTGAAGGGGGAAAAACTTGGGAAATACATTTTGATGCAGAGGACTAATTATGAGAAGAAAAATGTTGGTTAATTTTATAGTAAATGTCTTATGTATTACTCCCCCTTGTAAGAAATCCTTGAAAGAATTGGGTTGCAATCTGGATAGCCACAATAGTTTAATGTGCTCTAAATTGGGATATATATAAAAAATTCTATCAATAGATTTTTCCCTGGTCTTACTAAACAATACTGCTTAAAATGTTTCATCCTTGGCTGAGGTGATTAAAGCAAAATCATCAACAAAACTGCAACTGAAAAGTACAAAACCAAAACGACTACAAGAACTAGTCACAATAAAGGGCTGCTTATACTCCCGCAGCAAGGTGTCGCAGTCGCAGGTATGACGCAGACATTTTTTGATTTAGACGACCTAATTTCGAAGTATAAATCAAATTAAATAAAATTTCTATCTGATCTAGCCATGTTAGATGAGCTAAATCTTTATTCAGTCAAAAAAAAAAAAACTATTTTCTAATTTTTATCAAAGGAGAAGCAAAACTGGAAAGGTGGGGGAAAAATGTCGAACAGTAAGAGGCAGAGATCCTTCCAGATCATTGGCTAAACTTTAATAATTCAAAATATAAGGGATGATATCTTTAGAAAACATGTCAACTGATCAATATTAACAGCGTTGCTTACAGCTAAACACTGATTCAAAACGTTGTACAACAAAAATGGAGACTTGCAATGTACATATCTCAGTTAATGCCTATTTAACAAAAAAAATATTTCTGGAATTCACTCTGTATGTAGTCAGGTAAAAATGATTAAAGCACATACACTCTTACTTGACTTCAATATATAAACTCTAAAGATAGTGGTTGCATAGCATGGATTAGAATATGATTGCTCCAAACTCTCTTTGGGACCTTCGGTACTGGGCTCTATTATTCATACCATCTACTCAAATCAAACTCAACCTAACAAGCTAAATATCAAATTGGCATAACCGGTAATGTTAAAGGTTCTGATCCTGTATCAGCAGCTATGCTTAATGTTCAAATTGTAATGCTCAGATTGAAATCTATTCACATTCGAATCCAAAAGAAATATTTCAGTGTACAGTTTATTCAGACACAAGCAATCAGAATAAAATAGCAGATTGCACTAAAACTGTGTCATGTAAACATTTCAGTTGCCATATTCTGACATAGCGTCTAGCCACTCAAAGCGGAAATATATCATGTTGACATGGGGTGTTTATTCCGATTACTTAGTATGTCCATGAAAACATAGCTATTATCTCTTTCAGTGACAGACAAGGGTGCAATTATAGCTCCCAAACAGAAAAAAACAGTCAGTCACTCTTTAAATAAATGTTGTAGAAACCTCATTTTCCATTTGAGGTGTTCTTTTTACTTCTGCATTTTAAATAGAGCAACAGCCATCGAAAGTTTTTCTAGCATCTTCAACTGTGGAAAAAAGGGATAGTCTTTGCTGTTGCCTGTATTAAATGACTCTTCACTGATACTGTTGTCTTATTCAAAAACCATAATGCAGCTATAAGCCAAAAACACCCTTCAATGATGGGTGTTTCTTTATATAGAAATATATGATGGAAATATAATGTTTCATTATATAGAAACTAATACCAAATGTCATACATGCATTAATGGTACATAACTATAAAATTAAAATTAAAAAGAGAAACATATATGCAGAAAAAAATGTAATGTTAGGGTCCAAGCTTGTTAGAATACAACAAGAACAACCTGAAGGTCAATTAGTCAATATATTAAATAGGTGAAGGTAATTAGGGGCCCAAACGTTGGTTAATATATTGTGGTCAGCTGATGAGTCTCAGTGTAGCTGGGTGAGGATAAGTTACTGGTTAGAAGGGGATTTATAAACTGGTTCAAAATGAACCGAAATATAAGTTTCATTTTGAGCCAACAGTTACCTTTCTGGTTACAAACTGATAAGCATTCATCCTCCTCATCTGGAAGATTGTGGCACTCCACAGGGAGGTGACCCTCATCCAGGAGCGTCCAGCAAGTGTCCCGTAACACTTCACAGAAACTTTGGCAAGGCAACATGGGTGGCCCGCCTCCAGGGCCACACTTTGGTACCAAGAGAAGGCAGAAAAACCACTCCACATCGCGGTGACAACGTGAGCTCAGGAGCCATGCCCACTCATCCAAGAGTGCCCGCACTTCCTCCACACTGCTGTGGTTGAAGTAGTTGGGTAGGGCAAACCTTTCCCCCAGCATGGAGAAGCAGAAAGGCAGAGCAGAATCTAGCTTCAAGCATTGGGAGGACTCAAGGGCCAGCACTGAATTAGCTACTTCTGTGTGGTTTTCAGGTCTCTGGTTGAATAAAACTGCCTGGTTAAGCTGTTGTGCCCTTATTGATGGTTGAATAGCATCTATAACTAGTGGAGTTTGAGTTATAACCAATCTTTGATTGGACATTCCCTGCTGAAGAGCCGTGCTGGCTACATCACTGTCTGATTTGTTGCTGAATACCAATGGTTGTGGGGTTTGAGTTGTTTCTGATGAAGAAAAAGTCTGATTAGGGAGTGAATGTTGACTTGTATGTTGAACCTGAGGTAAAGGGACTTTAGTAGCACCAGTTGGTATCTGAGTGGTTTTTAATTCTTTAGCCACTGTCTGTAAAACAGTTCCATGCGATTTGTGAGTTAGGAAATCTTGGTTTTCACTGGAAAAACTCTTCCCACTTAAATCACTTCTGCTATGTTTGTTTCGAGGTTGTTCAATATGAGAAATATGACTCTGGTTTAAAAGCTTTGAGTTTGGATTTATTTGATGACTGCCCTCATATACCGTTAAACCTTCACTGTGAAATGGCAGTTTTTGAGATTTCAAACTGCTTTCATTAGGAGCGAATCCCTTATTATTTAGTATTACCTGCTCCGTTTTAAGTTTAGATCCCAAATCATTTTCATTTCCTCTAGGTAAAGCAGATTTGAAGTTGGATAAAAGATCTATTTTAGAGTCCTGATCAGATTCAGCATTGGTTCTACGACTTAAATTTAAATGTGCAAATTCACCAGAACCCACACCCTTCAATGAAGTTGTGTTATTACCAGGTTTATTTCTGTGAGACGGCATTCCTGCAGTGACCTTTTCTGCTCCATGTCCATTCTGCGGATGTTTTGAAGGAATTACAGTTGTCAGTTGAGGACCTTCAGTAGGCACATCCCAGCTCTGCCCAACCTTTTCAAGCACACGTCCTTCATCAATGATCTCTACTCCAACTGTGGTGCTACTCTCAGATAGCGGCTCTCCACTACCTGTAACACTGCCAGAACCCTCCATTTCCGACCTTGGGGCCAATGTCGTACCAGTCTTACTCCAGTCCCAGAACCAAGCATCAGAGTAGACCACCCACAGGGTGAGAAGACACAAAACTTTAAACCAGATCCTCATTTTGGTCACAGTGTCCAAACCACGTCCACCAGATTGATCAGTCTTCCAAGAGCGTATTATGACATGTCCATACAATCTGCACACACTCCTTCTCTCTACTCTGTCACCACAAACACTCCCGCAGACCCACAGACAGCAGAAGTGAGGAGGACGGCGCCCATTCAGAAGAATGAAGAGGGGAGAGTTGGAGCAGGAGGAGGAGGTGTGCTCCCTATTGGCCGCCCTGGCATTATTTATGTTGCTAACTCCTCCTCCTTTTGTGGCAGCGTTGAAAAGCAATCTCTCCTGCTGAGTGATATCTCAGAATTACAGCAGCCCGCCTTTTCAGTTTACAATACTGATGCTTTCAGTGTGCTACAGAGATGGGCAATATGTTCCCCCTGACCGACTGTCTTTGTTAAATTATGTTAATTAGAAAACTATAGATATACGCTTATGCTGATTCAGATTTTCAACAAAAGTTATTACAATGTAGACTGTGAGGACAATTTCTATGGCTCTCAGTCTGGTTCTCATAATCCTGATCCCTTAGAACTTGCCTTATAGGATATTTCAAAGTAATTTAATACATGAATTTAAACCATATTCTTGAAAGATAAGTTTTTTAAACATGTAATCTCTTCAAATAATAAAAAAAAATGAAACATAAAACACACAATAAGGACCTTTGGAGAACTATTAAGATATTTAAAGGTTACCATGATTTCTGGTCAAGCATAATGAAGATAACTGATTAAAAGCACTGCATACAAAAAGAGCAGTTCCTCCATCCTGTCACATGGATTTCTTTGCTTTGTTCTAAAGTCTGTTTTGGTAACCTGGTAATCCATGCTTCAGCTTCTTGCCCAGACTGGCATGTTATACAGCCTCTGGGTTTGGTTGACAGAGACCCTCCACAGCTCCTAAAGGAAGCTTGGTGATAAAAGCAAAAACAAGTCTGTCTTTCCTTGGAGTAGTGGGCTTTAAAAGAAATGAAGGTTTACGCCACACCTTGGGTTCAGCCGTTGAAAGAAAAGGAGTCAAAGGTTGTCTCTTAAAAGCTGTTGAAACTTTTAGATGCTTATGCAGAGATGTTTTTACGTCAGTGTGACAACTCTAAGTTACTTTCATTGCCTGGAGTAGGATATGGGCCGAGTCAAGCCTTGTATGAGTCTGCAAGGATTTTACTTTTGTTGCTTAAATAAAGTAAGAGGGGAAATGGGGAATTGTTTTAAATGGGTCAGACTATATATTTAGCAATTTAAACCAAGTAAAAGTGGAACAGTGAAAGTCCTTAAAGGGATACTTTAAGACTTAAAATCTGAAATAGAAGATATTTGCACGTGAGCCTTTTTGGAAAATGATCTCTTTTCTAAAACCAAACGGTCAGCCCTCTGGGAGAGAAGGATGCAACACTCTAAAGCAGCTAATCACTCATTCTGAAGCTGTCAAAAGGGGACAGTTTGATTACCGTCGATAGAATTTTGTTTCATTATTATTGAAAACAAAGAAAATGTTTTTTTAATGGACATAAAAAAAGAAATCAAAAATTAACATTTCAAAATAAAAAAATGGTTTTAAGGGTTGCTTTTCTGTTTTCTTTTATTTGAGTTTTACTTTTTAAAATTGTATATTTTCAATTTTTAGTTTTTTCAAAATTGTCTCATTAAGATTGAGTTTTACGAATGGCATTATTTTCAGATTGCATGGTATGGATCACCTGCAATGGACTGGCGACCTGTCAACGGTGTACCCCGCCTCTCGCCCATAGAAATCTGGAGATATCACTGAGAAGGGGTTTTAGGATTCCAGAGAAGACCAGTCTGTTACTTTGGCAGATGATCATGGAGACTCTGCCTACCTGGTCTTTGTATAACCAAACCAAGACCTATGCCTGGATTCTGGACCAAAAACAGACTTGTTGTTGTCTGGAAGAACTTTGCTTTGTCACTGTTCCTGTGTGTGGTATTCCTAGATAAGATCTTAAGAAAAAAACAATCCACTGGACTTTGTTGCCAAGCTTTAATGTGTGGTTCTGCTTGCATCTTTAAACCATAAGCTTCAACAATTTTAACCAAGTTGTACATGGTAAGGAGGTATGCATCACATATAAACCATATAAACCAATTTTATAACAACCCAGAATGCAGCACTCTTTCTAGTTTGTCAACAAAACATATCTCCCATTTTTAAGTGGTATTGCCCCTGAAAAGCTAAAGCTTTAACCCCCCAACCCCCATCCACCATCACCACCCAATAATCAAAAGATGTGGATCACAAACAGATACAAGCAGCTAGATATAGTTTATATTTTAGCTTTTTCCACTGACAGAACACCCCAGATTGTCTTCTTGGCATGGGAACTCCCTCAAAGTTTTGCTTGAGGTTTACCTACTGGGTATATTACATTCAAAGCCTGTTGGTGTCAGTTAGTATAAAGAACTGGAGACAATATGCAAATAAAAACTAACAGAATCAAAGATGGGAGGGGTTCACAAAGAACAGACAGACAGAGGTGACTTAGTCGGAGTGATTGATTATTACCGACAGGTTTTCTTTGTAAACATTAACATGTTACTCCCTTTATCTAACATGCCGAGTGCTGTCAGAATGATTTATATTGTTCTCTCACTTCTTTTTGCACAAAATCAAACAATGGGATGCTGCCAAGACAGAATAAATCACGTGGAACGCATTATTCCAAGGACGGCAGTAAACCCGCCTGTAAATGCGGCGGAGACGGGAAAAGGGCTTAGATTTTCATATTCTTTGAAAGGAAGGAAATGAGAGAAAACCACAAATGGGTGGCAAAACACACCTTTTGTCAATGTAACCAAGATATTTAGAAGACAGGTAGCTTGGCTGTAATAATTGCAGTTCATGAAAAAAAGAGGAAAAAAGAAAAACAAACTAAGCAAAACAAGAATTACATTCTAAGATGTTTGTACAGCATCAGACTGGATCTTTTAGCACGTACAATCTCCAGACATCAAACATGGAAGACACTTAAAGAGTTTGTCAGAAATGTGTGACTGTTTTCAACTTTTCTTTCATCTCTACTTCTGCTTATAGTTTCTATGAGACATGAAGAAGAAAAGGCTGGAAGACTTCCTGTCTCAAAGAGTGCTGTCGGACTGTTAATTACAGCATGAGGGGTTCAAAGTTTGCACTGTGTATTTATGGCTGAAGAAGAGACTGAATAAATGAAGGGGACTACCTAGAACTAGAGCTTTCTGGGCCAGAGCAGTTGGAACAAGAAAAAGATGGATGTTAAACTTTCATTAGAAAAGACTCAGTCATACAAGTGTGACAATGGGGATCCATGTACTGCCGTTACAAACCTATTTTTTTGATGATGTCTCCTTAGGTCTAGTTTGCAAACTGATGGCCTATTGGTTTAGTGCTCACAATATGAAGAAGGATGCAAGTACATGTTTCCTTCCCCAAAGACTGCCACTGGGGTCCCTGAGCAAGACCCTTGGCCCCATATTGGGGAGCTATTCTCTCCTGTAGAAACCTAAACTATAAGAATTTGTATCCTTTTTATGCTCTTTCTTCATTTGCTGACAATAACCCTCCATTTCTGTAAGATCTAAGAAATGTAACTAAAATAGTATAGTATAGGTCACATACAGTAAATGAAACATTTGGTCCTGTCTCCATCTCAGTGTTAGACACAGCTACTGGCCACACTTTTCCTAAAAATGAGTCCAAACCTGAGTACATCAATGGCTTTTCTGTTACCTCTACGCTTCACACAGGGAGGTTCCCTCTTTACTGTCTCTGATTCAGATTTTTGTAACATCAATATTTTGATCCAGTAACAGCAAAACAATTTTGAATAACAAACAAAACAAAAAAGATATTTTATTTGTATGTTGCACACCAAAACCCAGCATTTATATGAAATAAATCGCGAAATCCATCAGAAATTTAAAAAAGCAATACCCAATAGCTTCTTTGGGACTTGACGTCTATTAGCTGGAGTCCCAGCAGTGGTGTGTTTAATTAAATCCAATTGTTTTGTAATGGGCTGTTTTGTAATGGGCAAGAAGCAGTTTACCATACATGAAGTTTGAAATCTTAAATTTTTGTTTAACACTCTATTGAGAAATATTTCTACATATAAAGTTAATTTAAACTAGTTTTGTTTTCCTTTTTTATTTTATTTATTTTATTGTAGGTATCTCTAAAATTTTTCAAAGCAACCCCTGAGTAAGACTCTGAATTCAGAATTCTGTGTATGAAACTTTAAAAGTCATGAAAAGGAAAATTCTGAAAACAAACTTTAAGGTGGAAATGAAACGGTTAACCAAACTAACTTAACCCTATAATGCCAAATGTATCGTATTTGATACATACGGTTTCTGAAATGTTTTGCATCTGATACCTTTTGCATAATTTAATGGTAAAAACTTTGCTCAAAATCCTATTGTACACAATCAGATATACCTGATAACAGCCAGTAGAAGACTACACAAAAATAATCTTGACTTATCGCATAGTAATAAATTATCAATATCAAAAATGTATTTCTGTTTTTTCTTTTTACATATTTTGTTAAAAGGGCAAATAAGGAATTCAAACCAAAAAAAGTAATTTTCTGTTTTGTTTTATTCTTGGATCGGGCTTTAAAGGGTTAATTCATGAGATTGTGTCTTATGCGACGTTCACACCGAACGTGATTTGATGCTCGTTAAGCGAGTGTGTAAAGATGCATCTGATGCTTGTGTTCAATGGCAGAGAGCGAATTTTCTAATATTTGCTGTAATGAGTGGATAAGAAGTCATTTTAATATGTGTAAAACATTGTCTGCGCAGTCAGTATATATATATATATATATATATATATATATATATATATATATATATATATATATATATATATATATATATATATGTATCCCTGCCAGCTACCATTTAGCTTCTCTGATTGTTTGATGTGGCATGTCGAGCAGCAAAAGTACAAGAATCTAACTCCAGCAACTCCTGCTTGTAAAGCCCATTTTCGTGCCTCAGATGCTCAGAAGCTCATGAGGCCCCAGAGCACACTGGAAAGCAGAGAAACCCTCTCATTGGTTAGACTGCCACAATTTGATAACAAAATGACAAATGAGGGAGCTGGTTCCTTTTTAGGAGCAACTGTGATTGGTTAAACTGGCTTTCAGTACACTCTGGGAC